ACAAGAACTGAAAGGAAGAGGCAGAGTTTTGTAAGAAAGATGGGGACCTGCTTGTGACAAAATAAAATAAATCAGGAGGTAAAGGCAGAAAAATGGTTGATGACATGGAGAACTTTTTTAAAAATGCAGAACAATGCAGTCCTCCTTTGTTGCCGTGTGCCTTCAAGTCACTTCCGACTTATGGCAACCCTAAGGCAAAACTATCGTGGCGTTTTCTTGGCAAGGTTTGTTCAGAGGAGATTTTGCCATTGCCTACCTCTGAGGCTGAGAGAGTGTGACTTGCCCAAGGTCAACCAATGGGTTTCCATGGCCAAGCTGGGAACTGAACCCTGGTCTCCAGAGTCATAGTCAAACCACTATGCCTGGCTGGCTCTGGTCCTCCTAAGCAAGGGTCAAACCCCTCGCTTGCCATTTCTGTCCAGTACTGGCCACACTGGTGAAGACCTGAGTCCCACTTGTCAAGGCTGGTCTTCCTTTTTCCGCTCCCCAAAGATAAAGTGTGCAGCCAGGGCTGATTATTATTTTTTCCCGACAGAAGAGGGCTGTCCCTTTAAGTTTCATCACCAATTTTTAATGGGATACTTTTGAACTTCAGTCTGATGATTTCCTCTCTCTTTCTTTGCCTCCATCAATTTGGCCTGAGATTTCTTTCTTTCCCTCTATTATCCACCCTGATTAACTCAACTGCACCTGTCAGCTTTTATTCCACCGAGCGAGGAAGCCTGTTAAAATGCATGAGTTTTTATCACATTTGCTCTTTCTTGGCCAGCAACGCTCAACCAGAAGCAGGCAAGAGGAAGGAAGGAAGGGAGGAGGCCAGCCCCAGGCGTTCGTTCGGCTCCTCTGATGAAAGAAGAGAGCAACTGGCTTCTGGCAGCCAGAAAATAAACTCACCCCATGCAAACAAATCAGGGATGCCAGCAAATGCTATTCCCACTGCCAGAAGCTTCTGAAAACTGACAGCCCAGAAGTCCCAGAAAGTTGACTGTCCTCTAGCGTAGCTCACTCACGTGAAACTTTAAAGCTCTTGCACTTGGCGTATGTGTCTTACTTTTTGCTCACAGCGCATGCATGCCAATTCCACCACAAACCTAGAAGATCCAGCCCTCTTTCTGAAGATTCACAGAACCATCCATAGAGGTATGTTGCATCAATGGAAGTACAGTGTCTAGATCAAGGGAAGTTATAGTGCCACTCTATTCTGCTTTGGTGAGACCTCACCTGGAATAATCCTGTGTCCAGTTTTGGGCATCTCAATTCAAGAGGGATGTGGACAAGCTGGAGCGTGTCCAGAGGAGGGCAACCAAAATGGTGGAAGGTCTGGGAACCATGCTTTATGAGGAGAGGCTTAGGAGCTTATCGCTTGGCTTTTTAAAGACCTCCAGGGAAGGAGAGCCCACCATCTGAGTCTATTCCAGTTTCAAACAGCTCTTAAATCGGTTCTTCCTAACGTTTTCGTGGAATCTCTTTTTCTTGCACTTTGTGACTTGCCCAAGCTGAGCCAGGAATCGAACCCTGGTATCCAAAGTTGTAGTCCAATGCTCAAACCACTACACCATGCTGCAAAACTACAGATCCCAGGATTCCATAGGATGGAGCGACAAGTGCTTAAAGTGGTCTCAAACAGCATTATTTCTACAGTGTAGATGCATTCTACCTGGAGTTCAGCAAATCCCCCTTTCTGAATCTGATGCTGAATGAGGAACAACTTGGGGAGCTAGACATACCCAACTCCCCAAGGAGCTTATCGCCTGGCTTTTTAAACCGCTTTACTTCTATCTGGTTTAATCTTAATTTGGGCAGCATCCTGATTTTATCAGATTTTTTTGCCGCTGAATTTGCTGCCCAACTACAGCCTGGGTCCATCCCCGCTTCCAGAGCTGCTCCTCATAGCGGTCCATTTTCTTAAGCTGGAAAATTCCTGGATCCGAAAAGAGCCGCAATGAGCCCTGGTGGCGCAGTGGTTCAATGCCTGTCCTGCAGCCACTCACTCATAGACCACAAGGTTGTGAGTTCAAAACTAGCCAGGGCTCAGGCTCGACTCAGGCCTGCATCCTTCTGAGGTCTCTAAAATGAGTCCCCAGCTGTTGGGGGGCAATGAGCTTACAGTTGTAAACCACTTAGACACCCCATAGCGCGATATGAAGCGGTATATAAATGAGGCTGCTTTGCTTTGCTTAAGAAAATCCACATTTTCTGTGTGTGCAGAATATCATTTTCTCTGCAGGAATGCCGGCTTCTGCACTTTCTATGCACAAAACGACATCCCTGTTCAGAAAATCCCGTTATTGCACACAATAATTCCTGGGCTAGCAATAATTCTTGAAAATTGTGCAGGTTTTTCTTTTTGAGAAATCCCTTGTGCCAGGGAGAAAAATGGCAAAATTATTCATTAATTGCGGTTTGCAGGAACAAAATTTG